AAAAAAATTTAATTTATTATTTATTTATTTTGTTTTTCAATTCCCAATCTCACCTAAACCTCTAATAATTGAGTAATTTTCTCTAATTAGCTAATTGATTCTCTTAACTCATCGTCTTCTAGAAGTAAAAATAATCTCACTCTAATTATGACTCACCTCCTGACCTTTTCTATTCTTGCTTGCCGTAACACTCTTTAAGACTCTAACTCTTCTCATATTCTTCAACTTCCATAGTCCATACAGCCTTCGACATTCAAGCTTCGACTCCACATTTTCTCTTTAGTCTTTAACATTATCTCAAACTTAGATATTAGTTTCACCAAGTCACCATTACATCCACTTAGCCCTTTCTTTCTTTCTCCTTTGAGTTTGACAAGTGCTCTCTTTGTCACCAACTTTTCTCTCTAAAACCTTCAAGGAAGTTATTTACTTATTTATGCTTTTTAGCTTTCTCTATATTCCAAGTAAAAATTATACTTGATCTTGTCCTTTGCTTAGATGCATTCAATTGATTGATTCTTTGAAAGCAATGACAAGAACAAATATGTTCCAATGGGGTTTGTGTTTTTTGGTTGTCATGCTACTACTGTTTTTTTTTTTTTTCATTATTGAGATTTATAAATGTGTGGTGTTTTTGAATTTGACTAATATTGTTTTTTAAAGGGAGGTGGAGAAGATGATTCTAAAGAACTATAAATATGTATACATTAAATTAATGGGAAAATTTTTTCTTTTTATAAGATGATGAATTTTTTTAAAAAATCTTTTAAATAATTTTTTTTAAATGATAATAAGTACAAATTATAGAGAGAAAAAAATTTAATTGGGTTGACCCGTGACCCGTGGTGGGCGGGTTAGGATCTGCCTTCATTGACCAGTGACCTGTTTTAACCCAACCCATTTTGACCCGTTACCCATTTTGACCCGTTACCCATTTTGACCCGACTCAACTCGCCCGTTTGCCAAGTCTAGTATCCAAAGAAATGCCCAAATAAATATACGAGTTAATTAATATTTATGAACTTAGATTATACAAAGTTATCTGGTTTTTTATATTGTAATTTGTTAATTATTTTTGTTTTGGACGGTCATGGTCCTCATGCTACCTATATTGCACACTGCTCAAAACCAATTTCTTTCTAGCAATATTAAGAATGCACCCCACATCAACTTATTGTATTTTAAAAAATTAATTTCATTGCAGATGATTGTTTTAAGACTTAAACCTGATACTTGTTTATTAGTGAAATATGCAACCATAGAAATGTATTTTGTGTTTATTAAATTAGATTACAAAGAGTTACTCCCTCTTATAATTTTTAGTTATCCTACTCTCTCGATTTTTTGGAAATTAACTTGATGTATGGTAAATGAATAATAATTAAAAAAAATTGATTTAGGTGAAAATACTCAATAAAAACTATAAATAGAAAGAAAAAAATTTTTTTTTATGTATTTACTATATAAATTTATTTAATCTAATTTTATTAAAAAAATCCAAATAAAACAAATAAATCTAACGGGGAGGAATATATGGGTCTGGCCCCCACAAATTATGGGTTTCATGTTATCACAGATATGCATGTTTGAGTTTTGAGTTTTATGTGTGGTGTAGGTTCAAATCTCGTGCTCCTAAAACGTCTGCCGGTATTCTAGAATACATTGTTACTGTTAGTAATAAGAAATTTTTCATTAATTATCCCTTAAAAAAAAAAAAAAAGGGAGGCATCCAATTATGTTCTTCATCTCTTCTCCTGCATTCTTTTTGACATGGAATAATAATCAATGGCCAACATAAATTTAAGTTACTGTGTCCTCTTGAAAGTTTGATTCAACAAACAAGTCAAACTTTCATCTCCTGTAAAAGAGGCATTAATTGAAAGAGTTTCTGGCCTACTATTAAAGCAGACGGTGAGGTAATATCTACGAGTTAGCTTACATATGCCATAACAAGGTTTGTCCTTTTTAGTTCAAGTTGCATAGTGTCCACATAAAGTAAGTTAATGGATAAAAATTAATTATTTTTTATTATTTAATTTAAGATTAAAAAAAAAAGATTTACCTTCCTCAAAAAATTGAATCTTCTCTAAGATATGGTTTGGTTTAAATTAAATAAATGTAAAAAAAAATATGATCTTTATTTTCAAATTAACCAAGGATATGAGAAAAGAGAGAAACCAAAATGCCCAGGGAAGTGTTTTAAGTGATTAAAAATTTTTTAAATTAGAGATTTTGAATTCAAATCTTAAGATAAATAAAAAAAAATAAGGGAAGAAGAGGGTTATATCATATTGTATAACACATTATCTAATTAAAA